TCCTTTGAAAGTGAAAGTGAAGTCGCTCAGTCATGTCTGACTCTTTGCGACCCCATGGACTGTAGACTACCAGGATCCTCCGTCCATGTGATGATTTTCCAGGCAAGAATACTGGAGTGGGTTGCCATTTCCTTCTCCAGGTGATCTTCCCGACCCAGGGATCAAATCCAGGTCTCTCGCATTGTAGGCAGACACTTTACTGTCTGAGCTACCAGAGTAGCCCGAATGACTCCTTTACTTGGCTTCTATTCCTCTGACTTCTGGTTCAGTTTAGTTCAGTTCAGTCACTCAGTCATGTTTGATTCTTTGTGACCCCGTGGACTGCAGCACACCAGGGTGTCCTGTTCATCACCAACTCCCAGAGTTTACTCAAACTCATGTCCATCCAGTCGGTGATGCCATCCAACCACCTCATCCTCTGTCATCCCCTTCTCCTCCTGCCTTTAATTTTTCCCAGGATCAGGGTCTTTTCCAATGAGTCAGTTCTTCACATCAGGTGGCCAAAGTATTGAAGCTTCAGCTTCAGCATCAGTCCTTCCAATGAATATTCAGGATTCATTTCCTTTAGGATTGACTAGTTTGAACTCCTTGCAGTCCAAGGGATGCCCAAGAGTCTTCTCCAACACCGCAGTTCAAAAGCATCAGTTCTTCAGGGCTCAGCTTTCTTCACCATCCAACTCTTACATCCATACATGACTACTGGAAAAACCATAGCTTTGACTAGACAGACCTTTGTGGGCAAAGTGATGTCTCTGCCTTTAAATATGCTGTCTAGGTTGGTCATAGTTTTTTTCCCAAGTAGCAAGAGTCCTTTAACTTCATGGCTGCAGTCATCATCTGCAGTGATTTTGGAGCCCCCAAAAATAAAGTCTGTCATTGTTTCCATTGTTTCCCCATCTATCTGCCATGAAGTGATGGGACCAGATGCCATGATCTTAGTTTTCTGAATGTTGAGTTTTAAGCCAACTCTTTCACTTTCCTCTTTCACTTTCGCCAAGAGGTTCTTCAGTTCTTCACTTTCTCCCATAAAGGTGGTGTCATCTGCATATCTGAGGTTATTCATATTTCTCCCAGCACTCTTGATTTCAGGTTGTACTTCATCCAGCCCAACATTTCACATGATCTACTGTGCACATAAGTTAAATAAGCAGGGTGACAATATACAGCCTTGATGTATTCCTTTCCCAATTTGGAACCAATCTGTTGTTCCATGTCTGGGTCTAACTGTTTCTTCTTGAGCTGCATACAGATTTCTCAGGAAGCAGGTAAGGAGGTCTGGTATTCCCATCTCTTAAAGAATTTTCCACAGTTTGTTGTAATCCACACAATCAAAGGCTCTGGCATAGTCAATAAAGCAGAAATAGATGTTCTTCCGGAACTCTCTTGCTTTTTTTATGATCCAAAAGATGTTGGCAATTTGACCTCTGGTTCCTCTGCCTTTTCTAAATCCAGCTTGAACATCTGGAAGTTTGTGGTTCACATACTGTTGAAGCCTGGCTTGGAGAATTTTAAAGCATTAGTTTGCCTGAGTGTGAGATGAGTGCAATTGTGCAGTAGTTTGAACATTCTTTGGCATTGCCAAAATGACAAATGAAAACTGACCTTTTCCAGTCCTGTGGCCTCTGCTGAGTTTTCCAAATTTGCTGACATATTGAGTGCAGCACTTTAACACCATCACCTTTTAGGATTTGAAATAGCTCAACTGAAATTCCATAACCTCCACTAGCTTTGTTTGTAGTGATGCTTCCTAAGCCCCACTTGACTTCTCATTCCAGGATGTCTGGCTCTAGGTGAGTGATGACACCATCATGGTTATCTGGGTCATGAAGATCTTTTTTGTATAGTTCTTTGTGTATTCTTACCATTTCTTCTTAATATCTTCTGCTTCTATTAGGTCCATACCATTTCTGTCCTTTATTGTGCTCATCTTTGCATGAAATATTCCCTTGGTATCTCTAATTCTCTTGAAGAGATCTCTAGTCTTTCCCAGTCTATCGTTTTCCTCTATTTCTTTGCACTGATTACAGAGGAAGGCTTTCTTATATCTCCATGCTGTTCTTTGGAACTCTGTATTCAAATGGGTATATCTTTCCTTTTCTCCTTTGCCTTTAGCTTCTCCTCTTATCTCAGCTATTTTAAGGCTTCCTCAGACAACCATTTTGCCTTTTTGCATTTCTTTTCCTTGGGGATGGTCTTGATCGCTGTCTCCTGTACAATGTCATGAACCTCTGTCCATAGTTCTTCAGGCATTCTGTCTATCAGATCCAATCCCTTGAATCTATTTGTCACTTCCACTGTATAATCGTAAGGGCTTTGATTAAGGTCACACCTGAATAGTCTAGTGGTTTTCCCCACTTTCTTTAAGTTAAGTCTGAATTTGGCAATAAGGAGTTCATGATCTGAGCCACAGTCAGCTCCTGCTGTTGTTTCTCCTGACTGTATGGAGCTTCTCCATCTTCGGCTGCAAAGAATATAATCAATCTGATTCGGTATTGACCATCTGTTTATGTCCATGTGTAGAGTTCTCTCTTGTGTTGTTGGAAGAGGGTGTTTGCTATGACCAATGCGTTCTCTTGGCAAAACTCTGTTAGCCTTTGCCCTGCTTTAAATAAAGGTACTCCAAGGTCAAACTTGCCTGTTACTCCAGGTATCTCTTGACTTCCTGCTTTTGCATTCCAGTCCCCTATAATGAAAAGGGCATCTTTTTTGGGTGTTAGTTCTAGAAGGTCTTGTAGGTCTTCCTAGAACCATTTAACTTCAACTCTTTCAGCATTACCAGTTGGGGCATAGACTTGGATTACTGTGATATTGGATGGTGTTTGCCTTGGAAATGAACAGAGATCATTCTATCGTATTGGGGGTTGCCCCCAAGTACTGCATTTCAGACTCTTTTGTTGACTATGAGGGCTACTCCATTTCTTCTAAGGGATTCTTGCCCACAATAGTAGATATAATGGTCATCTGAGTTAAATTCACTCATTCCAGTCCATTTTAGTTCACTGATTCCTAAAACGTTAATGTTCACTCTTGCCATCTCCTGTTTGACCATTTCCAATTTACCTTGATTCATGGACCTAACATTTCAGGTTCCTATGCAGTATTGTTCTTTACAGCATCTGACTTTACTTCCTTCACCAGTCACATCCACAACTGGGCATTGTTTTTGCTTTGGCTCCATCTCTTTATTCTTTCTGGAGTCATTTCTTCACTCTTCTCCAGTAGTATATTGGGCACCTACCGACCTGGGGAGTTCATCTTTCAGTGTCATATCTTTTTGCCTTTTCATACTGTTCATGGGGTTCTCAAGGCAAGAATACTGAAGTGGTTTGCCATTCCCTTCTCCAGTGGACCACATTTTGTCAGTGGTCTTATGGTTATCAACTTCCAGTTGCTGGGGAGGAGGCTTACATTTGAGTCAGAAGTAAACAAAGGAGATTGGAAGATGTTCATTTCTCTCATCCTTTTTTAAAGTAAATTCAGAAGAATAAATGAATGTGTAAGAGATTTTATGGGAGAGGAAATAGGGAAGATGGCATTCTTTTATGGCCATGATTCTTTTATGGCCTGATGCAAAGAGCTGACTCATTGGAAAAGACCTTCATGCTGGGAAAGACTGAAGGCAAAAGGAGAAGGGGACAGCAGAGGATAAGATGGTTAGACAGCATCACCAACTCAACAGACATGAATTTGGGCAAACTCTGGGAGATGGTGGAGGCCAAAGGCGCTTGGCATCTGCAGTCCATGGGGTCACAAAGAGTCAGACATGACTTAGCAACTGAACAACAACAACAAAACATTGCACAAGTCATCTGTGCGACTCTGCAGTGCAAAAATAAAAGGACTTTTTAAGTCCTTTTTAAATAGGACTCCAATCTCCGTTGCTTTTTGTCCACATTTCAATACAATAAACATTGGAACCTAGGCATAGATATGCTCCCAGTTGACTATATTGTTCTTATGAAAGGAATAAGATATATAGCTTTATATATATATTCTGATTCGAAGAGCAAGAGTGTACTCATTGGAAAAGACCCTGATGCTGGGAAAGCCTAAAGGCAAAAGGAGAAGAGGGTGGCAGAAGATGAGATGGTTAGATAGCATCACCGACTCTGTGGACATGAATTTGAACAAATTCCAGGAAATAGTGGAGGACGGAGGAGCCTGGTGTGATACAATCCATGGGGTTGCACAGAGCTGGACACAACTTAGTGACTGAACAACAACAAATTCTGTATGAGACTATAATGGTGGGTACATGTCATATACTTGTCAAAACCCAAAGACTGTACAATACCCAAGTGGACCCGAATGTAAGCTGTGGAGTTAAAGTGATAATGATGTGTCAATACAGATTGACTAATTGTAACAAATAGGCCACCTTACTCATGTTGTCTATGACTGGAAGAGTCCAAAGGAAAAACAGAGGTATCATTACAAGAATGCATGCTAGGATGCTAAACAACAGAGTTCAACTGTACCAACTTAGCCAAGTTAGCTAGGGCTTTTTAAATTCCCTCCTCTTTGCCCCCCATGTCAGGATCAGAGGAGAAGATAAAGAAGATTCTAAAACACCAGGCAGGTCATTCCAAAGTTGTCTTCATGTATAGTGATTTATAGTATATCAGTATATACTATAGATAGTACAGATATATAATATGAATAACTGAGATTCTTCATAAATATTGAGGATTGTTGATGGTGGACAGCTCTGTCACAATGGGAATTTTCGTGTGAACAGATCAAAGTGAGAATGAAGCTATGGAACTTGTGACAGTCATTAAATGCTTCACATTTTAGGCAGGATATAAATGGAACATTAATATATAAAAATTCTTTGGGTTGAAATCAAGTCTAGCATCTTACATTAAGAAGATTAATTAGTTAATGTTTATAAAGTACCGTGCAGATATGCCCTTTTAAAATGCTAAGTATTCTAAAAACTACATTGTAGCATTTTACTAAGTGTAAAACATCTAATGTTCATCATTTCTTTGGTACAGGTTGGCAAAGATTCCTTTGGCAATGATTATATAGAAAACTTAAAACAGAATGATATTTCTACAGGTAAAATTTCATCTTTCTTAAAGTTAGTTTTTATAAGTTTCTTCTGGAATCTGGTTATAAGAAAAATCGAATGTAAAATAGAGTTATTAGATCCTCCCCTGGTGGCCAGAGAATTTTTATGCTCAGCTTTGTCTAGTCTTGCTTGACTACCCTTTGGTTACTTCCTTCATATACATTTCTCCAGATGGGAATAAAATGGTAGGAGGTTACAAACCTTCATCTCATAGAAATGTTTCAAAAGTAGGTGACAAGAGAAAACAGGTGCTGCATTCACAGAAGATAATTTAAGAAAAGTCATTGAATGTCATAGCTGGAAATGATCTGAGAAACCACTGATGCTGATACCATCCTTTTACAAGAGAGAAAAACTGAAGGCCAGATTGGTTCTGAATGTGTCCAAGAGCACACAGCTAAGCTGGAGCCAGAGCTAGGACTAGAATGCAGGTCTTTGGCTCCAGTTCAGGGCTCTTTGCTGCTGCCAAAGGCTGCCTGATCAACATTTCCATTTACGCGCCAGACCATAATCCTTGATGAGATGCAAAGCTTATGAAAATGAAGAGAATCAAACAAGTTCATTTTATGAGTTTGACCTTTAGTCTTTCATCTCAAGTCTGTCATTTCTTTCACTGAAGAAAAGAAATATGGTGGTCTAGGAAAATGCACATGTACAAATGTGAATAATCTGAAGGAATTGGAAGCGGGGGTGGTTTGCTGGGCTGCCACTAATGTAGAAAAAAGGCACAACTAAGTGTGAAGACTTGTATGTTCCTCATTGTGTAGGTGATGGGTATAAATTAGCACTAATTACTTATTTCTTTTTTATCATTCCAGATGGTTAAAGGTTAAAAAGTTTTTCCAAGGATTAGTGTTGCATTGAAATTGTTAAAAAATAGATTATCCCTGCCAGGCTGTACATACGTGATGATTTCTTTTTTCTTTTAGAATTTACATATCAGACTAAAGATGCTGCGACAGGAGCTGCTTCTATCATTGTCGATAATGAAGGTATATGTTTTGCACATTGGAGTATCGTTTCCAGAACTAGAGCAGAAACATCCATTTTTTACTCTATTCCTGTGGATCTCTTACCATACCCACCACTCCAAGGCCTAATGTATGGTCTTTCCAATGTAAATATATATGTTTCCCTTTATTTATACTTCCCGAGTTGATCGCTCAAATATAAAACTGTCCATCCAATACAAATGAAGTGATATAGTTGCCTCAAAATTATACTTATATTCTGTAGCATCCCGTTACCCTTCATGTGAACCCAGAATTGATATTTGTCTCTAAAAGTAGTTAAGTATTCATCTGTCACTTCAGTTATTAAGTAAATACATGTAAATAGATAGGTGCAAAGGAAAGTTGATGAATCATATTTATAGAATATTTACTAAGCAAATGGCAGCAACCAATTGCTTATAACTTGTCGTTAGTGTTCAATTTTGTCTGCTCTTTAAACAGCAATCAAATCTCAAAAGTCTATATATACAATGATATCTGTCACAGGGCCTTGCAATAGCTGAAATGTGTCTTTTAAAAACAGTAACTTTCCAGACTTCCCTGATGGTCCAGTGGTTAAGAATCCATGCTTACACTGCAGAGGGTGCAGGTTCAATCCCTGGTTGGGGAACAAAGATCCCACATGCTGCAAGGTGCAGTCAAAAAAACCAGTAACTTCTCTTTACCCTCAAGGAAAGTTTTTAGAATTTCTGCCAACTATTTGAAGTATAAAAACACCTACATAAGATTTTTTTAAATCAGAGTTAATATTCAGAGGGCTTCCCACCACCCTCTGAATGGTGCTAGTGGTAAAGAATCCACCTGCCAATGCAGGAGACAAGGGTTCCATCCCTGGGTCGGGAAGATCTCCCAGAGTAGGAAATTGCGACCTACTCCAGTATTCTTGCCTGGAAAATTCCATGGACAGAGAAGCCTGGCAGGCTACAGTCCATGGGGTCACAAAGAGTCAGACATGACTGGGCACATACACACACACACAATATTCAGAAGGGCCAAGCATTTCATGGAGCTCCTAGGACAGAAGAACCTACTGCACTGTGAGGAGTCAGAGTATACTATATTTAAATTAGGATTTGACTGATCTGAACTGTCCCAATATGTCTTTTATTTATAATGCAGTTTCACAAAATCAGTTATCACAGAAATTATGGTATTTTTAGTCTACTTTAGTGATCTCGAAGTTGCAGTAACAACCCCCCAAAAATATATTCCACTAAAAAACAGTAGACGAAAGTTTTCATTCTAACAACAGTCTGTATCCATTACTTTAAGCCATATCTTATGTAATTATCACTGCCAACAACAGCTCATTCCCTGTCTGAATCCTCTTTTTCAGTAGTGGGGGGGGGCGGGGGCGGTTTCCAGGGATATCGTCAAGTTCTGTTTCTTCCTTATCTGGGTGACACAATACCACATTTTCCATGCAAAGATATAATTTAATATTGTGTATGGGCTGCCTATTACAGTAGACTTTGTCTGGTTTACAGCATATGGGATAAGAGCTAACACAGATACCCAGAGAGGCCACAAGCAGCATCTTTAAGTGGAGGGATGAGTAGTGGTTCTGACAGGTTAAATTTGAGGTATGAATGAGCTAGCCATATGACAGTATCCACCAGACAGCTGTAGGCTCGGGCTTTGTTGCACATCAGCCAAAGCCAGGCCAAACCCGTCAGCAACACAGAGCAGCAGTGGACTGTGGCCGAGAGAATGAAGCCACTGAAGGAGAAAGGAGAGGAGGTATGCTGTCTTCCAGAATGCAGGTACTTTGAATTTTTCCAGCACTGAGATTGGGTTAACCCTGAACCATCCCCATGTTATCAAGTCCTCCTTGGTCAACACACATACCTGTGGTAAGATGACAGACTAGCACGTGTTCTGTAGTCGGAAGAAATTTTAGGTCACGTCTATACACAATTAGCACAAACAGCCTAGAGCACAGAAGACTGCTGCAGCCCATCCCTCTGAGTCAGGCTGTCCTATAGACTATAATGCAAATGATATCCATTAATTTACATTTTCCTTTGTTGTTGTTTAGTCGCTAAGTCTGACTCTTTGTGACCCCATAGACTGTAGCCCGCCAGGTTCTTCTGTCCGTGGGATTTCCCAGGCAAGAATACTGGAGTGGGTTGACATTTCCTCCTCCCAGGGATCTTCCTGACCCAGGGATCGAAGCCACATCTTCTACATTGGCAGGCAGATTTTTTACCACTGAGCCACCTTTTTAGTCACATTTTAAAAAGTAAAAAGGACCAGGTAAAATTAATCTTAATATATTGACCTAATCCAAAATATTATCCTTTCAACATGCAATCAAAATGTTCTTTAAAATTAATGAGATATGTTACCTTCTTTTCTTACTACTCAGTCTTTGAAATCTGCTATGTATTATGCAACTGAAGCTCATCTCAGCTGGGACAAGCCACGTTTCAAGGGCTCAGTCACCACATGTGGCTTGTACTCATGACTCCCCTAAGGGACAGCACAGCTCTGGAGAGTTCACCTGACAGAGAAAATGTACCCCACCCCTCCCCGACTTGGGCTGGACTGTAGAGAGTGGCTCTAAGTGATGAGCATGCAAGATTCCTCAGTCCTGCTTCTGTTCGACCTAGTACAGTACAGGCCAGATATCACTGTCTCCCTACTTACCTAGTACAGACTTTATCTGTTCAGTATTATAAAATGTGTTTTGATTTACAGAAATCACTTTTCAGAATACCCTGAGCCATACATGTGAACTGACTGCATACTAGACAGCATTAGTTTTTAGCATTAAGCGGGCTTCTTCCTGTTTATACTCATCATTATGACATCTGTCATTTAAGATTCAGAATCTTTACCTATACATTGTATCAGCCATTTCCCATAAGAGAAACTATTTTAAGTATGTTATATATAATTTTTCAGCTAATATTCTGTGTCCATAAGAATACTGAAAGGGAAATCTTTTTTTTTTTTTAGATTTTGCTCAAGATGATCAGAATAATATGATTCCTACAGAGATATAAAAGACTATCCATGGGGAATACAAAATTTAAACTGAATGTTTTAGAAATATTAAAATTCATACTTATAACACATTTTTGTATATAATGATTTTCTAAGGGTGAATGTAACACTGCAGGATGTTGTTGCTTGATTTTTAATATAAACGTCTAGAAATTCTTTATAGGCCAGAATATCATCGTTATAGTAGCTGGAGCAAATTTACTTTTGAATACAGAAGACCTGAGGGAAGCAGCCAGTGCCATTAGCAGAGCCAAAGTAATGATCTGCCAGCTAGAAGTAACTCCTGCAACTTCTTTGGAAGCCCTGAGAATAGCCCACAGCAATGGAGGTAATTTTACACATTTATCCTTTGTATAAAAGCTTTTATCACTGTCTCAGTGAAAGTTAACCTTTCAAGTTAAGCAATGCCATATTTTTCTGCAGTAAAATATTTTCTCCCATCTGAGATTCACTGTCTTTCTGTAATTCTCAATAATGTTAGAAAACCTTACAAATGGGGAGGGGGAAAATAACATGAGTAGCATTTCTGATATTCTGAAATATAAATCTCCAGTCTAGTTAGCAGAAATAATTCAAGTAGTAACTGGAATCTCTGAAAGAGCCCCTTGTCCAAGATATACCCTAAGTAGTAGAATGAATTCCATTCTGAGAAGCAGAGTTTAGGCTGCAGGTCATGGATAATCACTGCCCAGGTACACTTGGATAAACATCTCAAGGACTGAAGATTAAATCTTCCTCCTTTTTGTAAAACTTTATCATCTTTTCTAAAAACAACAAAAGATTATTTATATGTAATATTTTCTATGTTTCAGTGTCCTTTAAGTAGCTCTTTTTGTTTTGTTTTATCTTACACTTTGGAAGTTTTCAAACACAAAAAAGCAGGCAGAATTCTATAAGGAAACTCATCATGCAGCTTCAACAGTTGTCAACTAGTGGTTAATCTTGATTCATCTGTTCTCTCACCCACTCCCCTTCTCTCACCCCCAACATATAACAAACTTGAAAATATCTAAAGAGTTTGTTTGCTTCTTCTTTTTTTTTTATCACTGACTAATAGGAAATCATCTGAGTTAGAATCCCATTTCTGTTACTTGTTAGCTTTATAGTCTTAGCAGAATTATCTGATTTTTTCGAGCCATATCTGTTAAATGCATATAGACATACTCCCCTACAGAATTGTTCTAAGAATGAAATAAAATAGGATGCCAAGTTTGGTGTAGTACTTCTCAGTAGACACCAATTTTCTTCCCTCTTTCACTTCTTTTTTTAAATTAAAATTAGGATAATATCCTGATCTCAGCAGCTTTTGGTGAAAAAAATCAAAATAAAAAGTAGCCACTTAATCTAAGACAGTGGCTTCTTCTTGATATTGTGGCCATAGTTTTGTGACTTATACTAAGAAGAAAATAGGGAGAGAAGCACACTGACTTTTCCAGATCGAACTTTCTCATCAAGACAAAAAGAAGAAAAAGAAAAATGTGTGTGTGTATGTGTGTGTGTGTGTTTATAATAAGTGCTTTCTCTCAAAGTGTAAGTGTTCTACATAGCAATAAATGGAAAATAAGTTACTGAAATGATTTTGTGGAGAATTTTAAAATGTATGTCCTGATTTAACAAATTTCCTCTTGGTGAGACAACATGCTGTGGCAAATTCTCACTGACATTCAATGTATTTCTAATGGACTCAAAGCTATCAGAAAGAATTTTAAGCCAAAACTCATTTGGTTACATTTTCTCAGGGTGTCACAGATAAAGTCCAAGGCTTATGGTGAGCATTCTCCACAATGCACTCATCATAATCAGGTGATGTGAGTACAACGCGCCACTTCATTCAAGCTCCTGTCTTTCCTTGTATAGGTCAAAGCATGTTCTCATGTAACTTCTCTTTTTTCCCTGCTATCCCTTGCTTCTCAGAGATGACTCTTCCTTCTGTCCTAGTCTAATAGCCTGTTGCCTACCCAGCTTGTGGAGGAGAGAAAGGTACAGCAACCACAGCTGAAGAGCTAACCTTTCACAGGTGAGGCTAGAGTTATCTGGATGGGCAGGCAGCCTGACCTGGGCGGTCATTTGGTTGGGGTCCAGCCATGTTTCCTCTGTTATCTACCAGGCAATTTTTCTGTTGAGCTGGAGGACCTGGGGCATCAGGAATGGGTGGGAGTAGGTGATGAAGAGCTACAGCCCACCTAGTCTACTTCATATTTTTCCTGAGAGCCAGCATGCCTCAGGAAATTCTGCATGATCTTTCTTATGTTGTAATACTGGGACTAGTAATACCTGTACCTATATGTACTTTACAGTTTAGAAAGCACTTTCATACATATTTGATCCTCAGAAAAGCCTTATGACAAAGTAAGGCACACATTATTCTCCGAGATTAAAGAGGAGAAGATAGACTCGGAGAGGTTAAGTAATTAGCTCAACCAAGATCACTGTAGAAATCATAATTCCAGACTCCAAGACCCAAGTTCTGTGTCCTAGGGCAAACTTTTTTTTTCATTTATTTTTATTAGTTGGAGTCTAATTACTTTACAAAATTGTAGTGGTTTTTGCCATACATTGACATGAATTAGCCATGGATTTACATGTGTTCCCCATCCTGAACCCCCCTCCCACCTCCCTCCCCATCCCATCCCTCTGGGTCATCCCAGTGCATCCAACCTGGACTGGCGATCTGCTTCACCTTTGATAATATACATGTTTCAATGTTGTTCTCTCAGATCATCCCACCCTCGCCTTCTCCCATAGAGTCCAAAAGTCTGTTCTATACATCTGTTTCTCTTTTTCTGTCTTGCATATAGGGTTATCGTTACCATCTTTCTAAATTCCATATATATGCATTAGTATACTGTATTGGTGTTTATCTTTCTGACGTACTTCACTCTGTATAATGGGCTCCAGTTTTATCCATCTCATTAGAACTGATTCATATGTATTCTTTTTAATGGCTGAGTAATATTCCATTGTGTATATGTAGCATAGCTTTCTTATCCATTCGTCTGCTGATGGGCATCTAGGTTGCTTCCATGTCCTGGCTATTATAGGGCAAACTTTAAAGAAACTGTTGCGTCCCATTGATTTCAAGGAACTGAGCCTTTATGAAGAGTATCTCTAGAAAAGTGAAACCAATGAATTGTAATACTCTCCAACATGTAGCCTAAGCTTTCAGTGTTATTACTGCTTAAGTCACAGAGACGAGACCCTACAGTGTTCTCGGCAGTGTGTCCCCTACCTGCCCACATAAAACACATACACAAGCAACCGCGCACACATGTGCCTTTGTCTAGTATCCAGCTGGTCCCCATTTGGTACTTATCAGTCAGACATGGCTTAGAGTCTATACTATGAGTGGTGTGTGTGTGTGTGTGTTTGAATTTCATGTGTCTTCATTCTCACCTGAGAGGAGTGTATAGTGCAATAGAAGTAGCACTGGTTTGGGAGTCATGAAGTATGGCTCTGAATTCAGAATCAAATCACTTACCAAATGGTGGACCTCGTGCAAGTACTTCAGTCCCTCGCACTGGGCCTCAGCTTCTTCCGTGAAACATGGGAATCGGACTGAGAGCCCTCACATTCCTTTAATGTAATGTGAGAGTGGGCTGGTCACAGAGCAGAGCAGGCAGAGCCTGAAGGTCTGTTGAGCACTGAGTGTCCTGTCCATTGCCCAGGGCTGGCATAGGTGCTGATCAGCATTATTCCATCTACAAGAAAGATGGTAAAATCATTGTCGACATCCATTGACGACAGTAAACCCATTGCCATGGGTTTATTTCACGACTCCCTTATCTCTGTAAGCAGTGAGGTTTGACTTAAACACATTGTATAACTGGATTATATATCAGGTGTTAAAATACAGAGAAGAAAGTACCCCCTCCACCTTTGAATATACTGTCTCAGAATTTACCAAAATTAAAGAATTGGCTTTATGCAACACCTGCAATGTCAAAAACGACTTGAGATCCCTCCGCAGCCCTCTCCTGTCTAGGCCGCAGTGTTGTGAGGGAGGCCCACGGCAGAGCTGGTACTGCAGCTGCTTGTGATGAAATTATGCATGTTGGTTCTGGCCTTTATATCCATTTTAAAGCAAATGGAACATTACAGGAACAATTATAAATAATTGAAATTGTAAGATCGCCAAGAAATTAAATTCTAGGTAGGATACAAAATATCTTTTAATGCCACTTTAGTCCTTTTCCATTTAGCAAACCAGGCTTCTTGGCTGGCCGCCTTGACTCTGATGACATGGTTCAGCACATCACCCAAGCTTTGGGTGTTTTTGTTGCTCAAGTCACAGAGAAGACGCTCTAGAGTGAGAGACTGCCTAGCCAGTGTTTTGGGTAGCCCAACTCTCCCATGGTTTCTTTACTTAGGGTGATGTCTTCTCCTGTTTCCCTGAGCTCGCTCTTAGGGCCTTCTTACTATCCAGCCTCTGCCTTTCATGCTGACATCATTAAGAGTCAGCTTCGTTTTCCTGTCTTTGCCTGTACAGTTGCCTCCCCGGGCCTCACCAGTTCCTCACTGATATTATTGTGCCAGCCATCGACGGGCTAAGACAATCGGGAGTTTAGTCCACTGTATGTGGTAATGAATAATAATTACTGTTGGGTACCGTCTGTCACCTCTGCAGCTCCAAGTTACTCCACGGCATTGCACATCCTGTGTTCTCTAGTTTCACATGGTTCCAGGATGACATCATTTTTTTTCCCATCTTGACTATTACAAATTTGCATTCTTCTTTGATGAGCACCATCTACTGATTCTTCATTTTTTTCATCATGGTGAAGTATCCATGCTTATTTATGGTAGCATGAGCCAAAAAGGATCCTTTCTTTATGGTATTTTCACTTTTCTCCTAAATTTAGTTATTAGTTGGACTCTAATCCTATGTATTCAATTTCTTTTGGTAAGAATGCTTCCCCTTAGTAAGATATAGGCAAATAAGATTTGACTGGTTTTTATATAGTATTTACAGTCAAATTAAATTGCAGAGTTTCTCAATCCAGCAATTATTGCTTAAAATTTAATGTAACTGATTCTTTAAAATTTGTTTTTTTATGGTGAAAAAGTTCAAATATATGTGAGTATATCATGGTAAACCCATATATACTAGCTTCAACAATTATCAACACTTGGCCAATCTAGTTTCACTTATACCCTTGGATTATTTTGAAATAAAGCCAAGACATTATATCATTTCACTCAGAGTGTACTTGTTTTTTGATGTGAGATATTATATATATTTTAAGAATTATGTCTTTGCATGGTATATATATATATTAGCTGCATGGCAGCTAATCTGTGGTCAGATTTATTCTCAGCCTTTTGTAACTAATCACTTATTAATTTAGTGAGTAATCTCTCAGACTTTTTTCTCTTCTATGTAGCTATATAAATATAAATACACATAGAGTTATATTTTATTTCTTTTGTTTAAAAAAAGAGGGGGATCTTCCCACAGACTTTACTATAATACTTTTTTTTAACTTATAAATAAATTATAGAAGTCTTTCTATGACAAAACAGAGATCTGCTTCATTTTTTTGAGTAGCAGCAGGGAGTATTTGTCATAATTTTTTATCTACTCTGATAGATACTTAGTTTCTTTTGTTTTTTTCTGTTACAAGCAGAGCTCAATGAACACTACCGTACCTTATCTTTGCAGGCCTGGGTATGTGTGTGTAGGACAGGTTTAGAAAAGGAATTGCTAGACCAAGGCTCTTTTGCAATAAAATGGAACTTTTATAAGAAAAATGACTCTGTTCAGTTGTTCCATCCTGACAGCTTGCTCTAACCTGCGCTCAAAGCTGCTGGGTGCAGAATTGAGGATCAGATAGGGTGAACAATGGTGTTTCAACTCTATGCCTGCAGAAAATAGGGAGCAACATATTTGTTTTGAAAACCTAAGAACTAAATGAGTGTTTTAGGATGCTGGGCAATGACAGCCTTTATGCATAACTGACATCTCTGAGACCTTGCTGAGGTGGGAAAACCAATGAGAGAGATTTTTGCCAGGATCCAAAGTCCAACAGAAGGCAGACAAGATGGGTGGACAGGCGGGGGTATGGGGCTATGGCTAAAAGACAGTATAATAACAGTAATAATCCTTTACTTTTGTACAACAATTTACAGTTTACACAGGGCTTTTACATCCATTTTCTAATTTAAGCTTCGCAATAGCCCTGTCCAAAAATATGAGCAGCCAAAAATATACCATAGAATTTCTGTGGGTGGACATTCTAGATTCTAAAATAATGAAAATGTGGGAATAGCGTTGGCCTACAAACCGCTGGTCAACATCCACCAACCAAACCAAAATGTTGAGTAAGACCAAAGAAGGTGCAGCCATACACCAGCTCGCTTCCCCAGGCAGGAGTGAACAGCTTTCACTAGCCACGTACGGATACACATCTTCCCCAGGAACGTGGATGGATCAGCACGAAACTAACCATGGGAGAGCTACTTGCAGAACTTGTTACTGTGCACACTCACTGACCTCACCCCTGGAGATTCTGATTCAGTGGGTTTGAGGTGGAGCCTAGAAATCGGGCATTTTATAAGCTCTCCCAGTGAGGCTGATATGCAGCCAAGTTTGTGAACCACTGTTCTAGAAGAGTCTCTGAGGACTGCAGCTAGAGTATTTTACTCTGCGGGTTTATAGTAAATTAGAGTTACTAAACACATAAGTCAGTGGACGTGGGTAAGGAAAAGACGACTAACCAAGAAACCAACATAACACTGTAAAGCAAGTATCCTCCAATTAAAAATAAGTTTAAAAAAAAGACCGACCAATCTAGTCAGGTATTCTGGTGTATACATAAGTGTTTTGACAGAAGGAGAACTTCCTGTGAATGTAATTTTTAAATACTTTTTTTAAATGTTTACAAAGTTCCACAACAAAGACTACTGTTAAATACTGTGCACTGGCATGGGGGGGCTTGTGTTGCTATGGACAGAGTCCTGTCCTAGAGAGGCAACCACTTGAGAAATGACTAAACCCTAGACTTCAAACTAGAGGACCCTGGGTAGAGACCCTGCTTAACCATCCCCCAGTGTGTGTCCTCAGGCTGACCTCATCTCTGTGAGGCTCACTTTCCTCCTCTGAAAAATGTACTTCTTCTGATACTGTGATTGCTGTGATATTCTCATTTTTCCTCTTTCTGCTGTCCCCATCCATTCTCCTCTTGTAGTCTCCTATTCTGAGCTAGCTCTCAGCCTCTGATTGAATTTCTCCTCCTTTATCAATCTTTACCTTATGTTCCCAGATTGCCTGTAGAAGCTAAGATTGTAAGCTTTTGTGTGAATGTGTATGGTTGCATATGTGAAATATATTCATAAGGTATTTTAAAAAATAGGTGCTCAAAACATGCTTATGTACATGACCCTTCTACTTACTATCCTTACCAGGAAATTTTTGAGCTCTTCATTGTTCCCTTTCTATCATGTCTTTATTTTTTTCCTAGAAAATGGATTTACGAACTAGCCTTCCAACTAAGTGCTTAAAGTAATCTTCAAAAATGTTCAGCAGCCTGCATGTTCACATTTACACATGTCCTTTCATATCACATCATTCAAATTCTTCTTTAATGTTCTTCTTGCTCTTTGCCAAAACTTCGTTACCACCTTAGTTGTAAATACTGATGCTTGTCCTTGGGGCTGAAATGTTGTAAAGTAAAAAGCAGACCAAATGGACATAAGGAGGAATTGATACTAGGCTATCATGGAGACTGAGATTCCAAACTTTTCTACATCTATAACTAAGTTGATTTTTTAATCTGCTGGGGAAAATGGTTGTACGTGGGGGTTTCCCTTACTGAATGTTCACAAATGCACCATGTTAAAAACGATAACCACGGAACTCCCTTTTCATTCCTTTGTAGTGAAAACATTGTTCAATCCAGCGCCTACCATTGCTGACCTGGATCCCGAATTCTACACCCTCTCGGATGTGTTCTGCTGCAATGAAAGTGAGGTAAGGATGGAAGGTTGTGCTCATTCCTTGAGAGACCAAAAGACTTTCATGTATGTGGATAAAGCAAAGAATCCAGGACTAACCACATGAAATTTATTGCATGTGAATTCTTGGACATAATGAGAACAGATTTTTTTTTGGTTGACTGGGACGTAGAAAAAAGGAAAGTAGTGAGTCCTAGAAGAAAAAGGATTCCCTGAGTCATACCCGTGTTCTGTTTTCTTATTTAATCATTCCATAATCTATGGACTAATTACCATTAGAACTGCCAGAGAGAGCAAACAAAAATGTGACACCCAGTTAAACTTGAATTTCAGACAAATAAGAAATAATATACTAAACATACTATAAAATTATCTGTTGTTTACCTGAAATTCAAGTTTAACTGAGAGTCCTATATTTTATCAAGCAGTGCTATTAATAATTAACATACAACCCTGGAGCATCTGCTACATTCTGTTGTAAAGACCCTGTAACTGCACTGGTAGACAGACATAGGTTCTCCATTGATGCCATGGGAAGCCCTTGGTGGCCACTCCATTGGGAAACCACCCTCTCAGTCTGTCTGAGGGTCATAATGTATATATCTGCATAAAATGTCTATATAGATTCATATCATACCACTCATTCTGAAGTATTTTAGGGAAAAAAGTTTCCATGTTTTCCCTTTTATCGACCAGACAGTGTTAGACCAGCACTCATCCCACCATTGCGAGGCAAGACGTATTATACAATGCAACATACAGAGAAAGACAGTTTACAATTAATAAACTATAAAAGTAGTTTTCCACTTGGTACAAAGGCCGAATGAAGGTTTTTAGGATTTCCTGATCTGCCTTTTGGTTAAGTTCATCTCTCAGAACACAAAGGAAACCAAGAAAGAAGACTGCCACAAGGAGAATAATTTTAAGAAGCCACAATAGGTTATGCAATATTTTTGAGCAACCATCACAGCCAAGCATTGTGCTGGGAGAAAGAAACTGTGGGAGATAGTGGCCATTTCACAATAAGATGTTAGACTACCCTCAACTGCCAAACTGGTTTAGATTTCCCTGTTATAGACACTTAGAGAGCATCACTGTTTATACTTCAAACACTCATCACAGCTTGGATTGCTTATTCAATACCTCCGTCTTCTCCTGGAAGGGCATGGACATCTCTTATTCACTGTTGTATCCCAATGGCTATCATTGCTGCATAATCAATTACCCCCAAATCCAGTGGCTTACAACAACAGTAACTATTTATGGTCCATCATGGTTTCTGTGCATCAAGAATTGAGACAGGACACAGCGTGGTTCGTTTCTCCTCTGCGATATCTGGGGGTCTCAGCTAGAAGACTCAAGGACTGAAGGCTGGAATCATCTAAAGCTTCTTTCACTCACATGCTGGCTGTTGGCCAGAACACTTACACATGGCTTCTCCTTGTGGCCTGGGCTTCCTCACAATATGGAAGTTAGGTTCCCACTAGATCCAATCTCCTAAGGAAAAATGAAGGAGAGAGCGTGAGAGCCTGGCAGAAGACATGGTAGCTTTTATGTGACTTTTGTAAGTCACACAGCGTCTCTTCTAGCCCATTCTAATGATTGACATAGGAAAGTACACCCTGGCACCCTCTCAATAGAAGACTGTCATTGTCACAGTGTGAAAAGAGCATGTACAATGTGGTAATATATTGATAGTTATCTTTGGAAATTATCACCTTTTATATTATATTTGGAACATAGTTGGCACCTAGTAAATCCTTATTGAATGAATGAACATGAATTGAACTCTGGTCTTTAAGGAAACTGACCTCAAAAACTTAATGAAATAAAAAAATAAACTTAACATTCTCATGGATGACTTCTAATCATGATAACAAGGTAAATTCATGCTCTAAGATATGCCTTGTGCACCACACACAAACCCATTGATTCATAAATATAAAAAGACAATGAAAACATACTTACAAGCTCAAAAACAAGATAAATAACTCTACAGATCAGAAATGGAATAGAATCACAAAGCATTTAGCCCTGGGCATGCTGTAGTCCAGCCCCAGAAGCTGGCATTGGTGGCTGGATGGGTAATGGGCACTGAAAGAGTGCCACTCATGGGAGCATGGAGCAGTGCCCATGGCTGGAAACCAGAAGGGCTGGGCTAAGGCTTCCCTGCTAAGGAAAAAGAGTGGTGGAAGATGCTATGCCGAGAACATATAGAAGGCTCCCAACATATGGAGATAGGAGAACAGAGACTGCCTCAGATTCAGAAAGAAAACCAAGCCAACTGATGACATAGAGACTAGACAGGTGGTACAGTATGGCTAAGAACCCCAGAAGAGGAACTCCCTGTTGTCGATGTAACATGTCGCTCTGGTTTAGAGACCCTTGGGGACCTAGTGAATGCAGCCATTAAACCACTAGAAAGGCAGGGATAAACCTGGTGGGAGTGAAATCTGCAGACTCTCCACCTCACTGAGAGCAGTGAGCCTGCAGATGAAGAAATGTACTGCTGCGAGAGATCCAGCAGAATCAACAGTCTGAAGAGGAATTTGCCCAAGATGAAATTCAAATAATAAAACAATAAAAAAAGACTTTAAAATAAGTATGATCAAGATTCTCATTCAATGGAGGAAAAAAAAAGATTCTCATTCATTAAAAAAGGAGAACACAGGAAGCTCAACCTGGCTCTCTATGACAGCCTGGAAAGGTGGGGTGGAAGGGAGATTCAAGAGGGAGGGAACATAATGTATATACTTAGAGCTGATTCACACTGTTGTTGGCAGAAAGCAGCACAGCACTGTAAAGCAATTATCCTCCAATTAAAAATTTTTTAAAAAGAAGAAATTGTGAAAGAAAAACAGAATTGAGCTGATGGTATGTGAATATGAAAACCAACCAATCAGAAGTCTTGAAAATGAAAAAATAGTCATTGAAAAAAATTTTTAAACACTCATAGAAAGATAAACATTAAACTGGGATGAAGAATTCGCAAACTAAAAGAAAATTTTGATCAGTTCACATGGAGAAAGAAAACTCAACTCTCCTAGAAAATAGTACAGAAAGAAAAATAGTTAACTATTAAAGAGGAAATTAGAGAAATGAAGGACAGCTTGAGAGGCTTCAACATGTGTCAAACTGGACTGAAGGAAGATGAGAATGGAACTGAAGAGAAACTCTATTAGAGGAAAAACTGTAGGGTGTTTTCTAGAATTGAGAAAAGACATGCGCCCTTAAAACATCAAAAGTGTATTAACAGCACCATATAAAATAAATAAATATAACTTTCTACTAATGTACATTTTAGTGAAACTGTATAAAATCAAGGGGTTTAATAAAGATAAAAATATTTTTAAACAGAGGAAAAAAGATTGCATATAAATATTAAGAATATCTGATATGTCATTGCTTGTAAAGGGGGAAAATGGAAAAAAATCAAAGTGTCCATGAAAAAGAGAAGAGATTTTGTTTAAACTGTAGCATATTTGCAGTATGGAATACAGAGCAGTTTTTTTTTTAAGCTATACATATCAACACAAATTTTAAAATGTTAAGAGGAAACGTACATTGCTAAATAATATATGTGGAAGATATCATTTAACTTTTTTAAAGAAAAATATTAGAAGCAAATAAAGACAATAAAGTAAAATTTATTAAAGGTGGGTGTAAGTACATGAGTGTTTATGCATTATTTTTCATGTTCAAGATTTTTCCATTAAAGAACAGCTGTTTAAAAGGTTTTTAAAAACCATAAGAAATCAATGTTTCTGAAAATGAACCATCCAGCTCAACATACATAAGTGATCCCAGTAATGAAGATCAATGCAAACCTTCTTTTATATAAAAAGAAAAAGAAAAGTGGTCTCACAGTATAACCGACTCAGACTGAAACGGTCTATGGAAAAGATCGGGTTGCAGGGTACATGGTGAGTTTAGTGAAACCCATGCTCCTGGGAAAACTGACACCAAGAATGAGCAGACACGGAGATGACTTATAGGCAACAAGACGGGTTAATCTAGGCATGTTTGGAGCAAGTACAGGAAGGGACAAACCCACTCTTAAGATAGCATATGATTAAACTGTAACACAGAAAAGACAGAATCTGGTTATAAACTTTTAAAGTCAAAAAGCATCACATGATTCACCTAGTCCAGTGTATTTTCAGCTGCTTATCTCAAAACCATAAAGGTTCCCTGGAGATGCTGGCCGGGTACCTAGCAGGCAGGGAAGCAAGACTGCAGACCTTCACCCCTACTTCAGCTAGAGACTTGTTTATATTCTGCGAGAAACTACTGATCCTGTCTAAGCCCCACATTTTACAGATTTTTTGTGACTTGGAGAAGTTTCCAGAGTGAGTGAGCAGTGGAGGTCTCTGAAGGTCAGTGCATTGCTTTTTCTGCTATATATCAGAGCCTCTCCTGCTCTGCTTCCATCTTCTCAAGCAAAACAAACAGAAGAAATGAATGGTCTGCATACTAGTAATATGAAAAAGACATTATGGCCCAAGAGAGGACTAAAAGGATTTAGGTGTGAAAGTTATGGGTATGATTTACATCAAAAATCATTGGCAGTGGCCCCTTGCTTCTTTCTTTTCCTCCCTTCCCCCTTCCCTTCTTTCTTTTGTGAAATTCTCTTTGCTTCCCCTAACTATTATGAAAATCATCATAAATAAAGAAAAGCTGAATGGGCAATGAATACTCATATCCTCTCCACCTAAGCAGTTGTTATCATTTTGCTGCATTGGCTTCCCCTCTCCCCTGTGTGTATTTATTTTTGTTTTGGTTGAATTATTTGAGAGTAAGCTGCAGACATGATCCCTCAACCCTGAACACTTCAGCTTACATCTCCTAAGAGGAACTGCAATACTATTATCACATCTAGGAAAATTATCAGTAATTCTATACTATCATCTAATACTCAGGCCACATTCCAGTTTTCCCAGTTGTCCCAGGAACATCTTTTATAGCTTTTTTGTTGTCACTGTTATTATTTCATTTATTTTCCTGAGCCAGTATCCACCAGTGTTTGCCATGGCCTTGGTTGTTATGAAAAAGAAGGGAGACATCTCCTAGAAAAACAGATCTAATCTAGAAGTGGACCCAGTCACTTATTCTCAACAGTTTATTTTCTCTTTTGTGTATTTCAGGCTGAGATTCTGACCGGCCTTGAGGTCGGCAGCCCCACAGATGCTGGGAAGGCTGCATTGGTGCTCCTGGAAAGGGGCTGCCAGGTCGTAATCATCACCTTAGGTGCTGAAGGATGTGTGATGCTGTCACAGACAGAACCTGTCCCAAAGCACATTCCCACGGAGAAAGTCAAGGCTGTGGATACTACGGTAGGTTTTTCAATTTCAGAATCCTTTTGGCCTTTGAAAATCATCATTTAGTAACTAAGATACTGCACCTGAATTTTTGGATCATGTGGTAGAGGCCCTAAGAGATAATATGTTGGAAGAGAATAACAATCAATCAGGCTGGAGAACTGTGTCTTAACCCTCTCTAGCCCACTGTGGGACTTTATACAAGTCCCCTTAGCCTCTCTGAATCAGTTTCCTCCATAAAATTGGAATCAGTAAAATTATACCCATATTACCTTTATTCATTCATTCATTAAATAAGCCTTGATTGAATGCCTGCTATATGCCAGTCATGTGTTAGGTGCATATGTATAGTGATGTACAAGAAAAAGTCTCTGCCCTCATGGGGCCAGATTTTTAAACAATAAGCACACTGCTGGATCTTACAAGCCTCTTGCCTAGAATGAAATAGCAAAGAGCACTAGTTACTATTGTATTATATATATATACTAGATAATATATATTTATTATATTATATATTGTATGTTTTATTATATTTATACAGTATGTTTGTTTATTTCATTGCTTAGGAAAGACTTTAAAATGTGGCTTATTTATCAAAAAAGAAGCCTATGGGCATTTGATAAAGTTTTAGATACAAATATGCATTGAAATACATAAGTGCAAGGAGTACTTCTTCTTACATAATATTACTTCTTACATAAAATTACATCCTGAATGCTTTTTAAAATGTGCTTTATCAGGAATTTGATAAACTATACTTGGCAGTGTTATTCTCATCATATTTACTTATTTCTGAAACCACTAGTTTTTCTGCTTTGTTGAGAAAGACAGTAACTTGCATTTGAAAGACTCCTTGTTAGTTCTGAACTCAGTCCTCCATTAGACTAAAACTATTCCAGGTCCTGAGCTAGAGCAGAAGAGTTTGTTCTCTTTTGCTGAAAATAAAACGAAGGGTCCTTGTGACCTTCAGACCTCTGTGGCTGCCGAGAAGTGGCTCAGCCTCTGCTTTCAACATCTGTGTCAGTCACAACTCCTTTTGCTCATAAGTACCAACCAGAAGCACAACCCAAATGACTTAACCCAGAACATGGGATGTATCTGGTGCACATAAGTAGAACGTTCGAAGGTACGAGAGAATGCAGAGACTAAACCATGTCCTCAGGACTCACTTGTTCACCCTCGCCCTGTCAGCTCTGCTTGCCTTGTGGTGGGCTTTGAGCTCAGACTGGCACCCTCTGGGTGGTAGCCCCTGGCAGCCCCCTTCCCACACTGTGTCTCACATCATGATCCCATCCCTGATGTCAAATAAAAATCAAAGAGCTCTTTTCAGAGGATGGGAAATGGATGTTGATCAGAGAAAGCCACCTGTGCCCACCACAGAACATTCATGTGGAAATGCACTGCTTGGGTATAGGACTGATTGGAGAAACTAGCCTTGGAAATGTTCAAATTGGAATCAATAGTGATAATGCTCAGTAATTTCACGTTGAAGGACTGGCTTTCACAGATCAGGATGGATTATAACTTTGAGCATCTTTTGTACAGCTGTGTGCACCAAGGAGGTTTTCACACTTCATTGATACTGTCTTGTGCCCTTTCATTTGGTTTCTGAGCTCCTGCAGTTAATTTTTAAGGTTCAGGAAAGGTGAGAGACAGTGATAGTTTAGAGAGAACGGATTACTTAATACTTGGAGGCAGGAGAGAGAAGATGGGATCGGGAAGATCAGGGTGCTAGATCAGGATTGACAAGTTTTTTCTGTGAAGGGCCAGATGGTAGAGTTTTAGGCTTTATATGCCATATGCACACATGCTGTGTTACAACCACTCAGCACTATCGTGGTAACATGAAAGTATCCATAAACAACTTTGTATGCTCTTAAAATTAAGTTAGTATTAATCTAAACTAGGTTAAGTTAAGGTGTTAACTGGAATCACCAACTGATTACAATTACTAAGAACAAAAAAAGAAAAACTCAAGATAGTTAAAATGGTACACTAGAAAATATCTATTAAACACAAAGGAAGACAGTAATGGAAGGACAGAGGAATAAAGATACTGAAAGATATGCTGTTGTAAACTGGATAAAACTAAGACCAAGGAAGATGTAGGATCCAGGAAACTGGTGATGCAACTTGGTACTGAAGAATTTATTTGCAGGGCAGCAATGGAGAAACAGACATAGAGAACAGACTTATGGACATGGGGAGAGGGGAGGAGAGGATGAGATGTATGAAGAGAGTAACATGGAAACTTACATTACCATATGTAAAATAGAGAGCCAACAGGAATTTGTGTATGCCTCAGAAAACTCAAACAGGGGCTCTGTATCAATCCAGAGGGGTGGGATGGAGAGGGAGATGGGAGGGAGGTTCAAAAGGGAGGGGATATACCTATGGCTGACTCATGTTGAGGTTTGACAGAAAACAACAAAATTCTGTAAAGCAATGGTCATTCAGTTAAAAAATAATCTAATTAAAAAGAGAGAGAGAGAAGTCAGTGACAATGAAGGAAAGTTCCAGGACAATAGCTATGCAGAAACCCCATCCTCAGTCAGTCCAGATTAGAGCGGGAACTTGGCGGGCTCTTCCATTCCGGAAGGAATGTCTTCCAGAAACAAAAAAGAAAAAGAAAGAAATAGTGGAATATCCAGCTATCCAGTGTGTTTGAATATGCCCAGAGATTTTTAGCTCTCTTGCAGAATTTGAGGGTGAAACAATAATTAATTAACCAAACATGGAGATTATAATCATATCATGAAAATGGAAAGATAAAGTGAGTGTGTATTTGCGTGCGTATCAGGGAAGATAAGAGAACTAAATGCTCATCTTCCTTAGCTAGAATTCAACCAATAATATCTAAAACAGATTAAAAAAAAAAAAGTATAAACACTCCAAGAAATAGAAGATAAAAACAGAGGAAAGCAATAAAAGAATTAAAAGTATTTGCTTCATAGAAATGGGAGTGGAATGGGGCATTTACACTTTAAACTTTGTCTTTTAGTGTACCTCCACTATGTATATGGATGGCTTGGATTTTTTTTTTAATGGCGAAACACAATGAGGTACCATTTCACACTCACTAGGATGGCCATAATCAAAAACAGATAATAGCAACTGTGGACTAAGATGTGAGAAATCAAAAGCCTCAAACGTTGCTGACAGGAATGCAAGATGATGTAGCCACTTTGGAAACCGCTATGGAAGTGCTTCAGAAAGTTAAATTTAGAATTACAACAGACTCAGCAATTCTCCTTCCAGGTATATAGCCAAAATAGATAAAAATTTATATCACACAGAACCTTATCCACAAGTGTTCACACAGCATTATTCATAACAGACCAAAATTGGAAACAAACCAAATTTCATCAACTGATATAAATGGATAAACAAATTGTGGTAGACACATATGATAGGATATTATTCAGCCAAAGAAAGGAATCCTGATACATGCTATGGCATGGATAAACATCTGAAACATTATAGTAAGTGAAAGAAGGTAGGCATAATAGGCTACATATTGTAGCCTTCATATAAATTCACTTCAATTTATATGAGATATCCAGAGTACATATATCTAGTGAAACAGAAAGTGGATTGACAGTTACTAGAGGGTGGAGAAAGGAGAGAAAGGGGAGTGACTGCTATTGGGTATAGGGGTTCCTCTTGGGGGTGATAAAAATGTCCTGGAATTAGATAGTGCTGATGGTTGCACAACCGTGTGGATATACTCAAAATCACTGAATTGTGCACTTTTTAAGGGTAAATTTTATGGTATGTGTATTTCTCTCTCAATTGAGAAAACAAAGAACAGACAAAAATAACAAAAAGCCACTTCACTAATGGATACTCTTGTAATAAAGAATCTTTAACTTAATTGCTCTACTAAATCTACTGAATGGGCACTCAACATCCCTCTCCCCAACCCTGAGCAATGGAGATACCACAGGAAACAAGGGTAGTTATTTTCTGGGCGTAGAATCTCCCTCAAGCTTTTGTACGCTGTCTTTCTCCTCTCATCCAGCACTCTCATTATTACAACTCTTGCTTGTTCTACACTCAACTGTTGAGCTTCTTCCTAAGCCTCGTAAAGAGGAGCTAATTCACCTGGTGAGGTGAGGAACTCCTAGGGAGGCATTTTCTTCTGAACAAATGGGCTCCTTCACTTTCCTGTCAGGAGGGTATTACTGGCTCTCAGGTGGTTTATAACCTTCTCCCTTTTCTCCTCCTCCTCATCCATTACACCTTAGCAAAAAATCCTGCTGTGCAACCTAAATATAGCCACCTTTTTTATTTTCCAGTCATATCTCAGTAAAGCTTGGGGGGAATTCAGTACATCAGGAATGGCATGGATGGTGGAAACATCTTTAGTTAGTAGGCACGTTGTCCACTGGAGCCAGCCAGCCCTAGAAGGAGCCATTGCCCCCTCTACACCAGGCCTCTGCAGGTTGCTATGTTCGGTTTTGCCTCAGTGTTAATAGTTGGATGTATCGCTTCTATTTTTAATCCGTTTTTCCCATTGTACTAGAGTGAGAGGGTGGCAATAGCTGCAGATGTCCTCAGCTCAGTTTGGAAGACGTGACAGATGTGTCCCTTTTCCCATCTCTGGCACTCATGTCCTCGCTCAGCTCCTTCCAACCTGAAGGTCAGGGGCTTGCTTTCTTGTGTTCATGACGGCACTGAGCGTTCGCCCCATTGTCAGAGTTACACACAGATAAGCATGGTGATACTGTAGGATTATTGTCACCGTCTGTTGACTCTGTAAAATTCCTGATTTACAAGTTTCCATGTGTAAATGGTTAAGTCCTAGAAGCTACATTGACACTCTTAATTTCAAGAATTCAGCCCAAAGGCTAAATCTGTCCTCTCAATAATCACTCACTTTGTAATAAATCATAATTCAGAGTATATAAGTAAGCTGAGAAAAATCAGAAGCCAGTGAGATGAGGGATTCATCTTCCCTATTTTTTATTCCTCTTTCTTTCTATCCATTTGAGTCCTGTAGTATTCACGGTTGT